TGAAAAGTGGACTGTGTGAGAAACATTTTCCAAGTAACTATGCCATCATAGCAGCTGTGAAACAGCGGGTCTCATTTCTGGTGTACATTTTTATAAGCGCTGCATGTAGGTTCTTGGTCATCACTGGTGAAAATGCATAGGTAATGGTGGTGCTACACTGAAAAACAATGTTTTGTAGCTGAGAATTTGCTCTATCAAATAGTGTTATTGGGCTCTTTGTATCTGTTGTAGTTTCCATGGAAATAAACAGGAGGCATTACTTTCAGAGTGACCTACACAGTTTATTCACGCTGGTTTATATACTCATATTTAGAACTGGCATCAGTCATAATTACATCTCCATTAGAAGTGCTGTTAATCAACAGAATATCCAAAGTGAAGATTAGGATGCATGCTATGTCACAACATTCTGACAGGTAATTCAATTACAATTATACTGTGGGAATGAAATTAGTCCTCTGCCTTAAAGGGTTCAGACACAAACTTGTCATTGATCAACAGACCAGAAAGATTTGCTTTTTATTTTCTGAGTTACTTAGCTTCTTCAATATACTCAAGTTTTCAAATACTAGAAACATTCATATTTTTAAGTTTTGACTCAAGGAACATTTGGAGTGTTATCTAGCTATTCAGATAAGATAAGCTGTATTTCTTTGTTGTTCTGCATCAATTTATTTCCTCCTTACTATAAACAGCATTTTGTTCTACAAATGATGTGCATAATGATCAATGCAATTTGAATGTAATGTAGTGGAAGGAGCAACTCATCACAATTAAAATTGCCATATGAACTTGAACAGTTACATATTTATAGCTAACCTGCATACATTTTTAAGCCACAAGGTGCGTTGCCATGTTTAAAAAGTCTTAACTGATCAAACAGAGAAATATTTCTAAATATAAGGTAACACATATTATCCAAAATGATAGAATCTCAAATCATCAAAATCTGATCAGTTCTTCTAGCTTTATCTAGCTTTTTTTTTGAGGATCTTTTCCTTCCTGAGGACTTAGAAGGCAAAGTCAGGCAACTGTTAACACTGATGGAGCTGGTGGTAAAGTTATTGGATAGAAACTGCAGTCACTATGACCTGAAACTGCAGTCCTTCTAACCTTTAAGAGTACCATATTTTGCACAAAAAAGCAAAGTTTTTGCTTTCTTACTGAGAGCCCTAAGACAGTACTGTATTTTCACTTGCCTAACAGCTTAATTTATATCTCTTTCCAGAAATGCAATAAAATGAAGCATGATAGGGTTATGTTGACTAACAACATTAGCTAGAACTACTGCTGACTTAAAATGAGCTGGCTTATTTCACATTCAGAAATTTGACACCAGAACTCTAAATATGAAAACTAATCAACACTTTTAGGCTCGTGTAGGAATGCTAGAAGAGGACAGTTTAACAGGTTACTCATTTGAAGGCTGCAGTACTCTCCAGTTAAATTTTGCTATTTAGGATAGTTTGCTTGCTGGTGAACAGCTGTAGGATTCAGTCTCCTCAAAGTCAATGGAGAGAGAGATGGAGATAACCTTTCCAAAGGTGATTCAGAGCAGGAATCTCGCTGGTGTATTCTGAAGGCTGGTATTTTTCTCTTGAACACAAAAGGTACTGAAGCATATTACTTTGATAAACTTAATTTAGTGAGATGTGTAAAACTAAGCCAACTTGTTTAAGCTTCTATATGCTTACTAAGTTCTTTACAGCTCTCATTTTTCAGAAGATATCCAAAGAAAGGAACTTAGTACGTAAAATTGGCAGTTCAAAGAACTTCTGGGCCTTAAATGTAACATTACACGCATACACTTGCCACGTTCACTTGTCTGACACATTTCCAAGTGAAGATGATGATGGAAATGTGATTTCAGTGAGATAGAATACAAGCAGATCAAAAGTGCTCTTTTCCTTGCCCCTCCTGCTCAGTTATCGCCTCTCCTCATACTTGATATATGCTAACATCAGGTTCATCAGAGGAAAAAAAACATCTGAACTTCAATTTAGTAACTAAACTTAAACTTCAAATTTCTAGTTAATAGAATTTAAGGAAACATTAAGAACAAGAATCAATTTAACTTAATGTTAGATGTCAGAATTAAAAGAACCAATACTAACCAGTTATCTAAGGTTCTCTTAACAATTAATGCTAGAAAAAAATATTTGCCTCATTTTTGACCTCTCTTAAGAAGAAAATAATCTAAGATAAAAGGAGTTTTCTTCTTTTTAATGATACTTTAGACAAGTTTCATAAACTGTTTAATAAACATCTTATTTTATATAAATTATACTGTAGACATACAGCTTTCAAGGCTGAATCTCACTCTGGAAAACTGTTCACAATACAATCAAACCTTTCCCCAATCAACGTTCTACTCCTATGTAATTAGAAACTGTGCTAAGAAGAGATTAAAGACTGTGTTACAGAAGCTGCTGCTTGTCACAGATGACAAAGAAGCTAACTTTCCCTCGGATTGTAAGAAAAAGGCCTTCTCTTCTCTCAAACATCCCATTTCCTTTCATTCTAACCTTGCTTGATATAAAATCATAATGATATCTATTTTTCCACATCTCTAAGGAATGTGATCTTTCATAGCTACAATATCCAATCACTAAAAAGTGTCGGCAACGCATATCAAAAATTCTGAAGAGCGGATGCTAACCTATTGGATAAAAGGCTTCTCAACATAGCATCAAAAAGATTTTAAAATTCACTAATTGCATTTAATAGTTGAAATGATCTCATTTGGAGAGTGTTGTCCAAATGCTCCTTGAGCTCCGGCAGCTCGGGACTGTGCCCACTGGGGAGCCTGCTGTATGCAGATGAATGTATTTCTAACCTCCAGCTGTCCCTCTCCTGACAGCTCCATGCCATTCCCTCAGGCCCTGTGGCTGTCAGATAACAGAGCTCAGCCTGCCCTTCTGCTTCCAGCTCTTTGCTCTGGGCTGAGCACACCCAGGGACCTTTGCTGCTTCTCATATGTCTTGCTTTCTAGACCCTTCACCATCCTTGGAGCATTCATCTGGACACTCTCTAATAGTCTTATGTCCTTCTGACATTGTGGCACTGAAACTTGCACACAGCACTTGAGGTCTCTGCTCACCTAGAGCAGAGCAGAGAAAGGACAATCTCTCCCATCACCCAGCTGGCAGCGTTAGCTTGCCGCATCCCAGAAGACAGTTGGCCCCTTGGGTTTCCATGGGTAAAATGCATTAGGTATCTTTCACCTTACTGGGTATTTTAGGGGAACAAAATCACATTAGGCTTAAAAATTAAAAAAAAATTATGAGTAACATATGAATGTTAATTTCTTCCTCGTATTTCTATGAAAGATATGCATATTATTACTATATATTTAGTTCACCATGTAAGTACTATCCAAACTTAAAGAGAAAAAAAAAAAGGCAAGCAAGTATAGAGTACCTCATGTCTTAGACATAATGTTGTGGACAGTATCAGATAGAATTCAAATGCTCTATCTGAATTCTGACTGCCAAGGCTCCCCTGGCAGGCTATTGGTTTTGTACACAGTGTCGGCCTACTCTATAGACAGGATGCACTGCTACTCATCAGAATGGAAGAAGTAGAATGAGGACAAGGCTCTAACCTCAGGTTTTCTCCTTTCTCCCATAGCATAATGTTACTGGCTCTCTTGGGTTGATTCTCTTCCGATATTTGTGATGAGACATTCTGCAATCAAGGAATATCCCTGATAAAACTTTCTCAACAAAGAGATAGTTATAGGAAAAACTGTCCATTATTCAGCCTGCCACAAATACTGTGACAAGGCCTAAATGAGGAACTCCAACATTTAGAAAAAAGATGTATTTCAGAATGACTAAAGCTCTTTGTAAGAGACAAATAGAAAAAAAGCTAGGCTGCACTGAAATGCAGCATTTAAATACATAATTTGAAATGACTTTAAACACATGAATAACTTTCACATTTAGAGCTGCATTGCTGTGTTCTTCTGGATTACAGACTGCATTGTTAATGCAGATGTCAGGTTGTATTCACTCATCAAAAGCATGGCTTGGAACATACTTGTGAACTTTCTTTAACAATAAATCAAAGTGGAGCTAGTCATACACTGAGCCCACATTCTGATTTTCACTGACATTCCTCCCCACTGCGTGAACAGATTAAAGAGCGTTCAGCTAAATGTCATGAGTGGCGAGTCTGTCTAAAAATGTTCTGAAGTATTATATGATGCCACCCAGAATTTTACCAGATTGATTTTCTCCATAGGCATGTACATACACATATTTATACGGTTCCTAATTCATATCCTAACTTTTAACACTTAAAATCATATTTCTGAGAGTTCAGACATTTGTAGATGTTAACACCGACAAACAAGCCAATGCTACAAACACTGTAAGTGCTGGAAGTTTTGTCATCAAATTAAACGAAGACAAGATCCCATCTGTATATTTAAAAAAACATGAAACTGAAAAGTGAATTACTATCAAGGATGAAAGACATTTGATTACTGATAATGCAAATGAATTAAACAGCTTTCAAAGTAGATATATTAAAATTACTATATAAATACTAGTTTCACAGCCAGTAATTCATCATCCATGAAAACAGCAAAACAGAAGCAGGCACATAGGGAAATAGTCATATAGAAAGGAAGAAAAAGAGAGGTTTTACAAAATAGATTCTTTAGATGACAAAATTACATTGTCTCTGCTGTAATACCTTACTGGCATGTAGATTATACTGATTCACAACCCGTAATGAGATAATAATATGCCTTTATGTCCACCTTCCCACAAATACATAACTTAATGGGAACTTTTGCTTTCTGTTGTAGATGTGTAAGTGCAAAAAACTACCATCATCTTAGGCTAGCAACGGAAGATAGTTTATATGTACACAGGCATATTTCTTAAGCTCTTCTGTGGCTTTTCAGTTGTATTTGTACAACTTCTGGTTGTATTTTGGCAGATAGACAAAAAGGAGGTGTGATGAAATTGAAGCTGCATTTGAGAACTCACCTGATTCTGCCCCGAGGGCGTTCAGATTGCTCTGACATAAAACTTGTGCTGCTGAGGCGTGAGGCACTGCTGGTTCGCGAAATGGCTGATACGTCACTGACATCACTATCTGATGATTTGGCAGAGACGTTATCACAACTTCTGTACTGATCTGTTTGTATGTTATACTAGAGATTAAGAAAAGAAAGGGTGAGGAGTCTCATCAAAACAGAATGTATATACTGAGACAACAAATGACCTAAGTATGACAATTCTGTCAAGCTGCTTTTCAATTTAACGATATTCGATGAATTCAGAGAAACATTCATATTAAATAATCTCTTTATGTCTAATGAAGAATTAAAAAGTGGTATTTATGGAATAGATCAGATACTTGAAATATATTACAACACTGGAATTTTAAAAGGTTGCCTCATCTTCAGTACTCTTGAACTACAATGAGGAAATATTTATGCATTGTATGCACACCTTCTTAAGCACATGCATATACTATATTTGATGGTAGATTTTTTTAAACTTTTCAAATACTAAAAAATATGCCATGAAATACTTGCACAGAGTTCTTTTGCGAGAGTAGAACTTTATATAATCTGAATGATATACAGTCTTATGCTACAAGAAGCTGGCTCTGAGGGGTTGATTTCAATTCTTAAGTTATTTCTTTGTATTGTGATACTTGAGAAACGGTAAAGCAGAAAGCTAACTCCGTAAAAATAATATTTGTTCTCAAGGGGATTGGTTCTCCGACCTGGCTTTTCTACATGTGCACAAGCATAAGAACTAACAGAGGACCTGTCAGGAAGAATATGCGGAGAGGGGTAGAAATTGGTACAGTTTTATCAAAAGCAGAAACTTTGGTTAGTTAACTGACTGAAAATCCATACCATCTTTTATGTAACACTTGTATTACCCACATCATCAATAAGACATGCAAAAATTCAGTCCCAGAAATGTCACACTTAGCTAAATTAACTAAAGTAACTATTCAGTCACAGAGATATGAGAATCAAACCATTGCCAGGTTTCCAAAATTGAAATTCACTATCATTAGAGAGAAAGGGGCAGTTGGCTGAGAAAGGATTCTAACAGTGGCATACTTTCTAGGGCATTTTATGTGAAAACTATGAACACATGGCAAGATGAAGCAGTTTCTGACAGAATGCTCTACAGAGTTCACTTTCTGGATATGCTCTACAAAACTGCAAGTCATTGAAGTTTATGTATGAATTTTACTCAAAGTTGTAACCATCTATGTGTATCCCCAGCTGATGTAGGCATTAGATTGCAGGCTGAGCCAGTTGGCAGATGTCACGACTTAGCTTAAAAACCCTGGCAAACATCATCTTAAGTTTGTACAAATGAATGTATCTCCTCCTATCCTCTAGTCATGTTTATTTTCTAGTACTCCACTAGTTGCCTGTTAGCAACTATCTTAGAGGTCTCCATAGCACACTTGGGAACCCCCTGTTAAAACAAGTAAAATGAAGAAGTTAACTGGGGTAGAGAATGTGAAGGAATAAAAATGGTGAGTATAGGAGCCTGTAGGAAAAACTGGAGTTACACAAATTAAGCATCTCAGCACATGTTCTAGGGTTACTCACAGTTTCTCTACGTCAAAACTCATTGGGTAACATTTTTCTTCTGAAGTCTATGCTTCAAAAAAATCAAAGCAATAAAGCATGAAAATATTTTTTTAAGTCAGGTTAAATAAAAATGTTTAGAGGCTTGAAAAAAAAAAAAAAAAGGTTAACTTTTTCCAAATTAACAGCACTATTACTGAGCCAGTAATTTTTTTAAGCAAAAATCCCACATAATTCCTAAAGGAATCTTTTACAATTTCCTAAGATGACACACCTGAAAATAGAAAAAACATCTAAGCATGTGTAGTTTTACTGTGAGATGGGAGATGAAGAAAGAACTAAAGCCACGTCTCCTACTGCTTTGGTATTCCAACATCAAAACTGCAGCATTAAATATAGAGATTCCCAAGGAAGAGAGAACCCTTCCCTTTGCGGATATAGAGATTAGCACAAGAAGTAGCAAGGCTGCAATCTAATGTTGAGTGTTGCAGCATTTACATTTTACTTCTTAGGGATTTAGCTCTTTCTTCCCATAGCCATTCCTTCTGCTGAATTGCCTGCCATCTAAAGGAGGCATAAAACATTGTCAGCTTCTTATTTCCTGCCCACCCTTTTCAGTACAGTTTGGCAATCAAACAGTAACTTTGACTAATATCCCAAGCCCTAATCCTAAAAGCCTGTATGATGGATTGAGAGGATGACAAAAAACTCAAGAACTCACATAGCTTTCTCCCTTTCTTTCTTGCAGATTCTCCGATGTAAGAGCACAGGGCATTTGAGTATAGCTGTACCATTTGATTTGTTCTGTTTCTAGAGAACTTCTTTGGGCAGAAAATCTATATAGATAAATTCCACTATTGCCACTCAAAATTTTCTTTTAATTTCTTTGAAAGAATATTTTAATTTCAAATCATGTGAAGGGGCAGGGAGAAGGGAAAGAAACAGATGAACAAAATGAGAGCACATTGAAATTAACTTTTTTTTCTTTCAAACACAGAGAGAAGTAAAGAGCTCTTACATTAGTGATCCTTAAAAGAAGACTATTTTACCGTTACAATACTTCCGAAATAATCTTTCAGAGGAAAAATGTCACAAGCTGAGATCCTCTTATTTGATACTCTCAGTAGAGTAATGCCTGCAAGTTTTCCAGTTGGAACCAACAGTAAAATCATATAGTCCCTCTCATCTAGAGTCCTACTCCTCTTCAGCATAACTGTGTGTAATGCACTTCCCTACCATGTCACATTTAAATGTTACATGAAGCTTCCAAACTAAGTGAATTTGCAGTGTAGTTCCTTCCCTTTCAACTCTCTCTCTTACACAGTTAAAGTCTGAGTATCATTTCTATTTTGAAGTGCACTATTTTTCCCATTAGGAAGGTTGCTGAATTTTACAGCTAGCTTCAAATCTCCATACTGTCTGCACTGTTAGTTCACTTTTGTATTGCAAACATGTTTTTTTCACTATAACTATCAGAAATATAAACCCTTAACATGCAGTTCTCCATTCATTTTATCACCTATGGAGTTAGTTCTGTGCCAGCAACAGGAGTACAAAAGGGTTATGATGAACTGCAAACGTGCTGACACCAGTGAAAAGAGCACAGAAAAACAACGAGTGCACTTCATAAATACTTTCACAGTTGCATAATGACTAGCAGTATTAGCAATTTACTGATTTTAACACAGTTTAGAATTTAATAATTCATTATAATTAAATTATCTTTCATATTAATAAGTTTTATTTCTAGACTTGTCCTCAACATTTGGAGGACAGAATAGTTAAGAGCTTTGACAAGTGAACAAGTGCTCCTTCCTTTGACTTCAGAGAAAGCCTCAGGTATCAAACTCCTGAAAATGCACGTCCAAAAATGTTTTAAATAAGAAAATCAAATGGAGTTTAGGTTAATGAATCTAGGTTCATAGAGGGTCTTGAGCATATAGCTGCCTCCTGAGGCTCCTTACTCTAAAGACGAATTTTGCCAGGAAATGCTGAATCATGGCAGAAAACACCCAGTTTTAAGACTATTTGCAGAGGGTTCCTATGAATGTTGCCTGGATTCAAGGCCTGGCAGCCACCACTTTGGTGTGCCTAGACTGTCTGTGATTCCTGCCAGGACCTGGGTCTGTGTCTGAGGAGCAGCCCACGTGATGGTCAAGAGGCCAGTAAATACCAGTGTATCAGGTGGCTTTATATCCAACTCAACCTACTGCAAACCTCACTTATCTTTCTTACCAGAAACAGCAGAAATGAGTAAGTCACACCATGGAAAAGTTGCAGTAAAGCCCAGGAGTCAAATTTATCTTAAAGAATGTTTTGAAACCATACCAGTATTGAAGTGACTATCAAAATAATACATAGGTATAACTTTTACTTGAATGTCAATGCAAGGGGAAACAAAAAAAGTTACTGCTGACATCAGCCTCTAAAAGAATCTCTTCCTGCAGCCACAAGGGACTCTGCTCAGCATTATATAAAACTTTGGTAGTCATCCTCTTATCCATATCTCCTATCCATTCTACCCTTGTAGGCTTTAACTATCAACCTAAATCTAGACTGCCAGTAGTCTAATGACATGATTATACATTTTATACTAAATGATTTCAAATCACATACAGTGTCAACTGAGTTGGAAGCACACCTAAATATAGAGTGATGTACTTTTAAGTAGGCACAACAGTGCTCTGATCAGTAACTCTTAAATACAGACCTAAAAAGATGTTTTGCACAATCTTTGAAAAGCCAGAACAGCTGCAGCAGAAGTCTTGTACAGTTAGTGTACAAGAGCCATCAAGACCAGCATAAACGATGTAGATAATTACCTATTCAAAATTTGTTAATTTTGATAATTTTGTTAGTTTGTTAATTAGTTGTTTAGAACACAGATGTTTAAAAATAGTAACATACCAACTGCACTGTGTATGCTTGAAAAACTAGTTCTTGGCTACCAAGATGAAGAAATTAAGAAATTGAATGGGAAAAATTACAAAAATGGAAGAAAAACACCAGACAGAAATTGGAAATTGTATTGATTTGAGTCGATAATAAGAGCAAATTTAAATTTAATACATTAATTCTGTCCATACACAAGTAAAATCTTAAGAGGTTTATGGAAGTGTATGTATATTTGGGAAAAAAAAAAAATAGAGGAAGAAGCAAGTATTTCTGAACTGGCTGTTTTGAAGGGTTTTTTTTTCTGAATGTACAGCAGCACAGTTTCTCTAATAAATATAAATACTTATTTTCTTATTTTCAAATAGGAAGCAGAGTTCCTTGCAAGTAAACTATGCTTGCAAGTCTTGTTTCTTTTATAGCTACCTTATATTTCTTTCTTGCTATTCTATACTATTAGACCACTGAACATTTTTTTTTTTTTTGTCTTCCATTGAAGCAAGTTTTATGCCTACAGTTTTCAAAGATTTTGGCACCAGAAATTAGGTATAATCTTAAGTCCTTAGAGATCAGATTCACTAGCTTTACTGGATTACTTGCCACAACTTACTACATCTTCATTAGAACTGTCACATCTTCATCTGTTTGGTCTATTTCTTCCTGGTTTGATGACATCTTCACAGGATAAACAGCAGCACTAGGTTTGCCTTTAAGAACATATTCAGTGTCCACTGTCACCACAGGGATATGAAGCAGACAGCTACATTACTCAATATAGTTTAGATATTTAAATGTGCTAATATAATTTGTTCTCAGCAATTAAGAATTTATCACATATTGGATCATCCTACTATACCACATCACATAGAAAATGCAAGAAAAGTGAAAAGATTTTTGGATTTAAGTAATTCATTCTCTTTACCTCTTTTATAGCATTCTGACATCTCTGTCAGAATATGATGTACTTCCAAAATATTTTTTTTAATAAAAATGGACAGAGAATTTGCTTTTCCAGAGTTGTGGGCATAGTGAACAAACAATACTTCAGCAGAGTTCTTTCCATCTAGTATCCTGAATGCTGAAATTTCAATTTTAATTTCCACACACGTTTAAAAAAAATAAAGATAATAATAGAAACAGCTAAGCATGAGTGGATGAGGGAAACACTGCAGTTTGTTTCTTACCAATCATTTAACCATTCACCAGATCTACATTAGCCTTAGAAAAGTATACCAAATAATAAATCTGGCCAAATCATAAATCTGAAAAAGGTAAAAATTTGGTCATCCTTGACAATGTCCTCACATCATACATTCCCTTTCTCTCCTGAAAACACTATCAAGATCATTTTGCCACGTTAGAAATATGCAAACTCGTTGGAAGTTTGACAAAGACACATTGCGTCTCACTCTCTTGTCCTGAGTTGACACAGTCAACACGATATTAAATGATAGTAAATGACATATTAAAATTATTATGCAAATTCTGACTTCTGATCAGAATTACAGAATGCCTGAGGTTAGAAAGGATCTCTGGAGGCTGTTTGGCCCAACTTCTGCTTAAGCAGGGCCACCTAGGGCAGGCTGCCAATACTTTTTTTTTTTTGGGCAGGAGGGGGGTAACATTTGTAGCTGGCAGTTGGTAAATGAGGATGTAAAGCTTTGTTTCTCTCATTTTTCTTCCCTGTTTTAAATTCAGTGTTCACAACGAGGTGGTCTCAAAAAAGGGAAATATCTTCATTACAAAGTTGTCTTCATATTTAACTGTAAAAAGATGATGATACAAAGTAGATGCCTAATTGCCTACTACCCATTCTGAAGTGAATTTCTGATGTTTTGTACTGCTGAGTACCTTCTGTTATTCATTATTTTCATCTGTGTCTACAGGAGCACCAAGTCTGTAAAACACAAAGAAGGGGCACTTGGGAGGGGCAGGGACAAAAAGCCTGGTGCTGCACTACCATAACAAATGCCAGGAGTATACTGCCATCTCAGCTCTTGAAAAACTGTCAGTGTTTGCTGTTTTCTGTACATTACCACTTGACACACTGAAAGACTGTCTCTTTTAAAATGTGTTTAGATCTTACTGATATGAAAAACTTCTTGTAAAAATCTCTCTTAAGGTCTAAATTATTAGAAGGTGTAATTTTATTGAAACTGCTGCTGAGATCTTATCGTTAATATATTTGGCTGTTAAATGTGTCCTTGAGTTTTCTGCAGTGGACTTCTACATTTGCAGTGCCATCCCGTGGTTACTCATTGCCAACACACTACTACTGAGTAGGCCTTGGTGGCAGTGGAAGAACAGAACTGCAGGAATGCTCTTTGCGAACCCTTATGAATAGCTGGTTTTGTCTTTGCTCTTGACTTACACTACAGAAACAGTATGCTGCATCTCTAAACAGGAAACTTCTGCAGATATTTCCCCTCTCTTAGGTTTCTAAAAGCAGCAGGACTTCAGCATGACTCAGCTCCAGCCCCTCACATCTTGGCTTGTGAGAGGCAGCCTGGATTTCTGAGATCTTCTGCAGATTGCTTAGAAGTCTATGGAGATTTGAACTTACATGCCTGTGGGACAGCATTTCAGCATTATCAACAAAAATATATATGTTCTGTCTATATAACTTCATTCATGTAATTTTGTATACCTTCAATAATCAAAGGAAATCTTTATATTTTTATTGGAAAAGGAGATTAAGGTAATAGGTATGTATTTCCAAAAGAAAATACTTTATCTGTGATATCATTAGGATGCAAAAATATTACACAGATATGAAAACAGCAGCATGAGATTGGATCTAATTATGCCTCGCTCTCTGTATATGACACAGCAGCAAAAGCCTAGAGAAGAATAAAAGATCAGGATCAGCATAGAAGGATACTTCTCTTGTCTCCTATTTCATCCCCCAGCAATTTGTACATCTGAGACTTCTTAAAATCATGGTGACACGGCTCTGTTTAACAGTTGTTGAAGAATTCTTCTTCCCTGAATAATTTTTTTCAAGCGTTCTGCTTTTTGCATTTTAGGTAAAATCAAAGTCTAAGTGTAAAGTACATGAGGGGAGTAAAAAAAATGTTAAAAAGCCCTTACAGAAGACTCTTTGTCAAGCTTTATAACACAATGTTCGTGAGGGTGGTATAATATTTTAAATAGACATTTTATATCTTCAATTTTCAAGCCAAAATATCATTTTAATACTGCTAACTTTACCTTGGTATATTGCTCACGCTCATGTTCTTGACTAGAACCAGACCCTGACGTCTGATTATAACGGTGCACTTTCATTTTCATCTGCCTTGTTCGCTCCTCCACTACTAAGCTTGCTGCAAAAACACATAATGAAAATCAATTAAAAAGAGTGAAAGATCTTCTGAAAAACACACAAACAAACAAACCGGTTTAGCAACAATTTTAACTTATTTCCATCTAAATGAAACAAAGAAATGTACAGACATGTAAAACAAGTAGAGTGTAAAAACATCACAAAGGAGCACTAACATCAATAAACCATCACTTCCATCGCCAGAAGTCTTTACCTGAAAATGGGCAGACATCTCAATTTCTTATATATAATCAAGCTGATGCAACAGATACGAAGAGAGTGAAAGAATTTAGGTGGTAGACTGGATTATAACATTATAATGTCTGAATAGAGAGGACATAAACCTATGATCGTCTACCTGTATATGTGCTTAACTGTAGAAAATACTACAGCAGCATTCTAATGACTAATACATTAAACAGGTATTAAAATTTGCTTTTAAAGCAATTAAATCCTATTACTATCTTAATACCTAAACACTTACCATAGCTAAACATTTTTTTTTAAGGGAAATGATCTTTCTATTCAACCTGTTATAGTAAAAGATACAATAAATTCTTTTTTTTTTTTTTTTTTTTTTTTTTTTTTTACAAGAAGTCCTTTAAAAATTCTACTTTATAATGCTCACTTCTACTTTAAGGAAATTGCATGTTCTTCTATTTTTTATTTCCCTACCATTTATCTATAAAAAAGGAAATCTAATATTAAACATACAAGAGATTGTGGTGCTGTAAAGAGTACCTGATTCAATTTGAACGAGTAATGACAACATTGGCTGTGCTTGCCACAGGAAGATGTCCATGCACTAAAGGAAAAAACTGGTGTGAAAATACCCAGCCTAAAGCTTCCTTAAAGAAAGTTAACCTTGTGGTAGTGTGTAATTATCAGAGGGAGCTGCGTATTCTGCCATTCTTAAAGTTGGTTGGACTACAAATGCAAAGGAATACCAATAAAACCAGAACCTTGGAAACTGGTACTCTGTGGCAGTTCTCAAACTACACCGAAATATTCATCAGTATCTATTCTAAATTACAGTAACATTCACTATGTTCATCACTTTTCACAGGTTATAACTTCCAAGAAGAATTATTTCTTTTAGTTGCAATTTTTTTGTATAATCATAAGTTCAAGACCTGTGTTTTACTTGGGAAAACCCCTACAAAATCTTTTTGTGCTTTCGGATCAACCGTTTTGGATCAACCACTTGTATGATTCTCTCCAAAGATTAGTTTTTAAGAGTCCCTCCCAGTTCAGTGACAGGAGACAGACATCAATTTAAAGGCTTCATGGAATCACTTTTCCATCACAAAACAAAGAGAACTTTAAATTAAGGAAAAACAGGTGTACAATCATGATGTTTACAGATTTACATTATGAATTTAAAGGTACCAAAGATACCAAAGATAAGTGAGTTTTATGCTGCTACTTAACTATGGGATTCTTCACACTTTTTTGTTTGTGCTTTGCAAGCATGAACACAAAAAAAAGTACGTAGTACCCTCAGAGCTGAATATTTTAAGCTGTGTTAAAGTACAAACAACAACTGTGCTTGCATGCACCACCCGTAACAAGTTTGAGGAAATCATGAATTGTCTGTGCACTGGTTGGGTATGAAAAAAATATGAACATATCACTGTCAAGAATGTTTTCATGTCCTCCTTTCACATTTCTTATTTAAAGGTAGGGAAACTAAATACAGCAAATTACAGTGAAGTTCTGCTACAGCTACAAGTTTTAGGCAAAAGATAAAACTACCATCATAATCTTCAACCTCCCACACTTCAGAGGGATCAATCTAGGAAATTCTGCACATGCAGAATGTCACACTGGGCCCAGTGAGTATTCCAAAGGACTATGTTGGTTAACGTGTACCTTAATTGCAATGAGTCCAGTTCCACCATCAGATATGCAGGCACAGCTCCAATTACTTCAATGGAAGTTGCATGGAGGTATCTGAAGGCAAAATTGAGCACTTTAGGTGAAATTTTTAAAGACGGCCTCTCATTTTATGGACATATATGAAAGGATTAAGATATGTCAATTAGTGACTGAAGTCAAAAACTCAGATATCTCAATCTTATCATATATTCATGAAATAGACTGAGGATATAAAAATCAGAGGGAATATCGAGACCCCTTTAAAAATTTAGCCCTATTTGTGTACTGTGCACAGGTTATAGTGACTCTAAAAATAACCGTTTCACCATGTGACTGATAGGTGCTTCACCCTGCTAACTTATGATACCTGAGAAAGTATAATATGCAATGCCTACTATTCCAGCAAGTACGCACGAAAAGTACTGTAGTCAAAATTGAGTAAAAAGTCAACCTTAACTCAGTAATTTTGGATTATGCTCGTATTTAAATCTTAATCGAAAACTTACGTTTTGCATTAATGGATGCCATTATACGAAGTAGCATGAGAACAAGTAGTGAGGACTGTTAAGTTGATGTAAAGACTCTGAAAGAAATCTGTTTTTGTGTAAGAAGCAAAATGTGCCATTAGCTATTAGCTAAAAACAACTGGTTATCAATGTACTTCTAAGTAAGGCATTGCAATCTAGAAATTACAACTGCATTCTTTCCAGCTTTGCTCACCATGCACATCTAAGTGCATGATATATCTGGTTCAATTCTGTGATGGAAAGTTTTGTCTGCCTAAAAAATAGAGCAGTCTACTCTTTGAATTTTTATCAGAAAAAGAAAAAAAAAAACAAACCCAAAAACGTAACACAGGAGCAAAAGCACATGAGCAGAAGATGTACAATAAGAACTATAAGAACTATATAAATATAAGAAACACCAGCATACATACACAGTTCTTTCTTGGAACACAGCTGGTTATCACAGGTAATAAAAATTTGACATAAACAATTATTCAAGAGCTTAACCTATCTCTGAGAAAAAATATGGATCTACTTTATTCTTTACAGAGTGCTCTTCCCAGAGCTCTTGAGAAGGAGAACTATGCAGTAATCTACATATTGAAGCATAGAAATCCCCAAACTCTGAATTTTACAGTGTCCCTAGAATTCAAAATATGAAGATTTAACACCAGTATCTCAAATTAGTGGTACAACTACCACCAACATCAGTTGTGCATCAGTCATGCTTTGAAGAGCTATCACTCTCATCACTTTCAGAGATGCTCAATCAGATCTGAGATCAAACAGCATAAGAAGTGTTGAAAATAGAGAACTCATGGAGTAAACTGCTTAAATAAGAGGTGCACATGTAGAGGAAAAGCTTTCATTGTAAGGAGTTTTCTTGTGTAAACTATGTGCAGATTGTAGAATAATAATGTATATAAGCAATAAAGCCATGAAAAAAAGACAGACATACAAATGGAATCAAAATATTATTCTTCAACTCCCTTACTTTGCTTGGAAACCATTCTGACTCCTGTAATCTCAAGAGTACTGAGTCTGTCTGGGATGGAGTTAATTTTCTCCACAGCATCCCATACAGTGCTTTGTTTCAGATATGCAGCACTTAAATGTCTTAGCTATTGCTGAGCAGTGCTTGGACAGTATTAGGGCCTTTTCTGTTTCTCATTCAGTGATAACACTGTCTTTCAGAGGTGGCCACTACGTGGAGACTATCTGGGCATTGTCCACTGGTGGAAGATGGTAAGTAATTGCTTTTACATCACTTGATAGTTTGATTTTTTTTTCCTTTCACTTACTAAACTGTCCTTAACTCTACCCACAACAGCCCACACATTTTTACACACTTCTGCTCCTACAATTCCCTCACATACCTAGCTGTGGACGGAACAGGGAGTGAGGAAATTGTGGGTGCGTAATTGCTGGCTGAAGTCAACCCACTGTACTGACCTACCAATAATTAACCAACTATGCCTAGCATAATTCTGAATAGTTTTCCATCAAATAAGCAGAAGTTCTCTAGTTAGCATGTGGTTTATGATTGAACTCAATGCCAAGTCCCATCTACCTTCCACTGTGAATAGGATTGAAAGCAGAAAACATGGTCTCCTAAGATTAAGACTATTTCCTAACCCAGAAGCCTACCAGCTGTTCCTGGGTCTTTTCTTCATATGTCATTTAAGAGATCCTTTTGAACACTGGGCACTCTGCACTGTAATTCATGAAATATCTTGCAGGATTCTAAGTAAGTCACATGTTGGAAATATAACTAAACATCTGGATTTCTAATCTTTGTAGAGTTGATAATGGTATGAGAAAAAGAACAATTTAACATAAATACATAATGGAAGAGTTGTTTTTTTTACCTATAATCTCAAGAAGTTGCATGCATTTCTTTTGATAAAAGTAGTTTTCTACAACATTAAAGACAGTTCTTGGTATATGTTTCCAGCATAGGGAAAGAGATTTTTTTTTTTTTTTTTTTTTTTTTTTTTTTTTTTTTTGGACTAGAAGCATTTAAAATACATGCTCTATTTTGATTGTCTAAAATACGCAAATCCAAAAAATGTGACTTAAAGGAGGTAGGGAATAAACTAATGAAAATGGCTGAAGCTCTTTAATTTTCAGCCTGAAACCTACCCAGGAAGGATATTTAGGATAGGACAGTAGGTGTGGTTTTGTCGTTTTTGTTATTTTGATTGTTTTTGAAAGAAGAAAGAGCCATTTCTTAATTTTTTCAAGAGATTATAGAATTTATATACAGTCATACTCCTTATAATATGTCATCACTATGGCATGGTTTACAGAATTGCATCTGATAGCATTAACTGTTTAACAGCCTAACATCTCTATCTCTATCCTCAGACAACTGTGGGCATATTTCATCCCCTATCTGCTGATTAAAAAATACAGAGGTTAGGCCTGGTTACAATACTACCTATCCTTTCAATTATGTACAGAATAACAGAACAATGAGCAATACACTGTACTAACAGATCACATATATTATGGCAGATAGATGAAAAGGCAGAATTTTGTATTTTTTTTTTTTTTTAGAAATACTTCACACCTTTATTTGTAGATAATGCCGCATATGGCATACTTCTGCAATATG